ATTGACCTTATGTTTAATCAATAATAAAGGATTGGTTTGGTTTTCTGTGGTCAGTGGTGGAAAGTAACTAAATACATTTACTCTAGTACAACCGATGTCACATGAACCGAGACTTCAGGACCAAGTCAATGTTAAAAATTCGGAAAATGTGAAGGTACTCGTTTTTCCACCGCTCCGTTTAAATCATGTATCGGGACTTTAGGCTAACGTATACCGCCATCCCGGAGACAATAGAAGATGTCCCCCGATAATGCAACATTGGCCCAAGTTTCCATTCAGTTGTCATTGGAATTTTAAGCAAACCTTTGGAATGTTGCAAGAAAAGAAATACTAGTAAGGCGCGTTTCCATCAACTGGTTCTGAGCTAATAAACTCTACTAGGGTAGTTTGGTCAGAAGTTGGCGCTATAGGCTACATGAGGCTGCAATCCGCCAGTAAACTGAGTAGCAGAAGTAGAGCGAATTCTTCGGCAATTGAGGAACTTTCAGTGAATGTTGTCGTTTCCATACAGCTGTTTTAATGTGATACAAAATATGCATAAAAGTAGGAGGAGAGCTGGTAAGCGTTAGCTTGGTCAACACAGTCCTGCTTAGCTAAGTAACAAAGCTAACAGCTAACGTTAACAGAGGTTGCATTGAGACACATTATGATGCGTTCAAGCTCTGTTCAATAAACATGAGTATTGGGGCTAAGGTCAATTATGTCATTTTGATATGTTGGAATGTAATTTTGTAAAGTTTAGTTTTTGCCAAAAGCTTGAGGCCCATCACTAGGGATTAATAATGTTTGCAAAAACCTGTATGCAAACGCTAATAGAGGAGTGTGTGTTGAAGTACATGGGATTTATTGGGGGTTTTTCATTGTATGAAATTGGTTATCAAGAATTGTGGAATTTCACTGGTATTTCGACAACTACATTTCTGGTTTCCTGACATCCCTATCTAGTACTCGCCTTAAGTACAATTTTGAGGTACTTGGAGTATTTTGTAAGTCCGAACAGGACTTTCCTCAACAATAAGAGCGTTGTACATCTCAGCAAAGCTAAATAAAGGTAAAAAGAAAACAACACATTTACACTCGGTATTCATTGGGTGGGAGCTGGCGTAGCACAGAAAGTCCCGTAACTCATCTGGTCCAGAACCCCAGCCTAACATTACAAGATAAAAATGATTAAGCAGTATATCCTGACTACGTGGGAACACAATGTTCCCGTCTGCCGGTATTTCTCAAATACCGGCGGTTGGTAATGGCTCCATGTACGCAAACCATGTCCACTAATTAAGAGAGACTGAGAGTTATGTAAGATTAATCCAATTCTTTATTAATCTTCTAATCTCAGGATGCATTTGGCTGTGCAGGGATGGTGCTATTCTCCAGCACCGCCATTCATTTCATCCTCCCTGTTTTACTGAATGTCATTGAGAGAAAAAAAACAAAAGAAAACAAAAAGGAGGCAGACATCCTCCATCATCTGTCTCTCTTCCCTCGCGATGCTTGCTCGGCGCATGTCAGGGAGGAGAGAGAGGGAAGAATGTAATGGTGCTATTTATAGCAACTGTTGCCGTTTAAATTTTAAAAAAAATAATCTGTATCTCATAGCCTGCTACACACCCACCCCTCCTCCCTTTTTTAATAGGGTTGAGAGAAATGCAACTGTCCTTCCTCCTTTTGTGTGCCTCCACTTTCCATAACCCCATCATCATTTTGTCGTCCGTCCATCCATCCAACTATTCCTTTTAGTGCGCTGGTGCCATTGTTTAGATGCAGAGGATGTATAATTAATTTCTCCTCCAGAGTTGTGGCACATCATTCATGAATGGAGGAGAGGGGCAAGAGTGAGCTCCATAGAGATGAGGGAGGAATAAAGAGGCAGTGAGCAGGAGCAACGCTTCGTGCTACGCATCTCAAGTCAGCTTTGTTTAAAACATGGCCCGCTCATGTATATTCATTCTGTTTTGCAACGGTGGCATCTCAAGACCTGTTTCTTATCAGGGATCAGAACGGAGCAGGTCTGCAGCTGTGCTGTGTTTGTGATATGACTTCAAATAGTGATCTGTGATCCACAATTAAACCTGTTGGTCACTGTTACTCTGCTAAATACTCTGGAAAACAAGCCCTCGGGATGTGCTGTTTTCATCAATTCTGGATATCCTTTCTACTCACTGAGAAAAGTACATAATTAAGAGCATTTTGTACAGTGGTGGAAGTATTCAGATCCTTTACTTCAGTACCAGTAAAACATTCCATTACAAGTAAACGTCCTACATTCAAACCATCAGTACCGGAGGATTATGTAAAATGTACCTGAGGTATTAACACTCATTGTGCATAAAAATGTTTTTACAGTGGTGGAGCTAGTTCTTCAGTAACCACTTTATATACAGTTTAGGCAGGTTAGTCCTTTAGTCCATCGATTTCCAACCTAGGGGTCGGGTCCCCTTCGATGGGTCATAAGATAAAACTGACGGGTCATGAGGGGTTTCTTTAATTTTTTATTTTATTTGTGCATCTTTCTTCGGTGGGACACAATCCAACAGAAACCTGTGCGGGGTTCAGAGCTGAAAGTGTAGAGTTGCGAAACAATTTCAACACAATCCTGAGAGGACGGTGTGATTTGAGGTCCTGAGGGAGGACGTTTCTCCGGAAGGTTTTGCTTTGGCCTGCGGCGCATTCGTTCACTGAATCATACTGAGTTCCTTCTTTTGTTTCCCAGGTGTGCATGTCCTTGGAGGAGGAGGAGGGGACCACCTACGGTAGTTTACACCCTCCTGCTCCTGTTAGATTAGAGCAGGAGGTTTAGAGCTGTTTAGAGCTAAGACAGCACCGATGTTGTCGTCGTTGTCTTGTTCCAATCCTTCTGAGCCGTGTCAGAGTTGTCGTAACTGCTCGGTGACAGTGGCCTGACAGAATTCGGCCTAATTGGGTGTTTTCCTGGGCGTGCCAGCAAACAGGCTGAAAGTATTGTTTTGGCCAATACATGGCTGTCATCTTTATTTTTCATCCCACCCGACACAAATGTGTCCATCGGGGACGTCGAAACATTCATTTATTGTAAGCATTTGTACAAGTCCCTGCCTCCAACTTCACTGTCCTGTTTCGTTACGGACCATTGATGTCTGTCAGTGTGTCTTGATCCGTGTATGCGTTGCTGCTTATCTTGCAGATCTTCCATTGTGTTGTCAAGTTTATTCTTGCTCTTTTGAGACCATTCACAATGTGCGCCCTTTGAAAAACAACCTTTAATCCCCAGCAGCAGCAGCAGCAGCCTTCAGGTGTGATGAAAAGAGTCTTTGGCTCCGGTTCCACATAAAAAGAACCATCCGTGTTTTTTTTGGAAAAAGTGGGCGGATTGCGCGATGACAAACAACCTATTTCCGTGACACCTCACAACCCACTGCTTGCCGTCGCTTCTGAGCTTGCATCAGTGGCTGATGAGACTGAAATAGTGCCAGAGTCTGACACTTCACATGAAGAACCAAACTAAAAATAATCACCTCAAGGAGGAAGTGGCAAAGTAGTGCGATACGAGTTTATAAGAAGGAATTAAAGCCATCTGCTGATGTGACTATTGTCCTTCCTCTCCCCAAGGCTCCAGTCTAAAGAATAGTCTCCACTCAAATACAACTACTCCTACTCAATTGATTCAGTGGATTTTAAATCTTTAGTCGTCCGCCTGAGATTTGAACTTAACTGACAATTTGTTGCAACAAGTAAGTGTTTTACAAGGATTTAGAGCTGTAAAGCTGTTGATCTCTCAATAAGGCCCAGTTCTTGTTTTTGCTTTTCTGCTGCAGTTTTTCTAAATTCTATCAAAACACAACAGCAGTCTCTCTAAAAAGATGCTTCCTTCTGGCTGAAGATGAAACCTGTTGTGTTGCTCAGTCATCAGTTATGGGTTACGTTGGCTGCGAAAGCTCTGCCTTTTGTGATGGGAACGGTTGAAAATTGCAAACTCGCAAACAAAAGTGTATTTAATTTGTATTTGTGAATTTGATAACTATGCCGTGTAATGTAATTATGTGTTGACACCGAAAAGGGGACAAAATACAGAAAGATGATAGTGTGCAAACTAAATTCTCTTGATTGAGTGTGATGTTGGTGGACACTATTGTCTCACTTTGGGATGCACAACAGAAATGGAGGAACTCCTCGCAACTCAACTCACCTCTGGTGAAATGAGGCTTTACAGTAGAGCCATAAAGCCAGCAGACTGACTCTGCAATGTCTGTTACACAGTAGTGTCTATCTAAAGTTAGCTAGCAATAGCTAACATTAGCCACTGGTCATACCAGACCAGGTCAGCAGGAAAACACCAGAGTAGGTTGAATTGAGCCAGAGTGTTTTGTTTGTTGCTCATGAATTTACCTTTTCATTTGTAATAAGTAGAAAGTTAGAGTCTTGCTTCAAGATTCCTATTTTTCAATTAGAGGTCTCACTTTAAATGAGTTGTGTCTTTATTATTATTGCTGGTGTCCTCTGATGGTCAAATACATTGAGTTCTTGTAGACCGTTAACTGTGGAACACACTGGTATTATTGTTGTATCGAGACTCCGCTCATCCACCATTATCTGCTGACATCTAGTGGAGTTTTAGCAGCATCGCATTCAATGTGAGGACCTGTTGTGATTCCACATGCTCATATATATATATATATATATATATATATATATATATATAGATAGATAGATAGATAGATAGATAGATAGATAGATCATCAGTAGACCTCGCAGCATGAACTTATAAATTCCCTTAATTAAGAAATCCTTTTAAAATATCTATTCAGCACCTCATAGTGTTATTTTGGAAGCCTAAAGTACTGAAAAATAATTTCAATTGTATAATTTCCACAGTAAACTACATTTGAGTTTAGCAGTTTTAGTACAGTGCTTCTAGATGCATAAAAGGTAGAAAGTACTAATTCATCATACTATCTGAAAATATACTATTCTGTTAAATTATATCATTCTGAAATTTATTTTTTTCCTTCTTGTCCACACAGCTGTTCACTGCAACCTGAGCCAGAATGGCATCGACCACCAGATGTGCCCGGAGGACATGACGTCACAGCTGGAGGAAGAGGAGGAGTCGGTGGACGCGGGGGCTGCCCTGCTGGACGACGACAGCCCGAGCTACCGGGACGTCAGCCCGCCCATGTACCAGCGCCGCCCGCCACCACACCGCTCCGTCTCCGAGTCGGAGCTGTCGCGGGTAAGAGTTGGCCCTGAAAGCGTTGTACGCAGGAAAAGGCTCAATCGGTTCAATCCAGATCATCATTACAACTGATTTATCATCTTTCGCGTCCCAGCGCAGAGCGCTCTACTCCAAATAATTGTCAATAACATTCAGCGCTTAACTTTGGGAACGTTGCTGTCTAAGGCCATGATGTGTAAACAAGTTTTTATTCTAGCATCTTTCAACCTATTCTGATTTCAGTGCTTGTGTATAGAAGTGTCCCTCTGCTGTACTAGGTACCAGTTACTTCTCCAATTCGATTATTAAAACAAAATATAATCAGTAAATATATTATGATGTATTATTACAGTGTATAAAGTAGTTTACATTGGCGTCAACTTTACCAGCTGAAACATTAAAGTGATTTTTACACATTAATGCATCAATAGGTATAATCAATTTCATAATATTTTATTCTGAGGCGGGTTGTTCTGCATAATAATTACTGATACTTTTGATACTTGGTAAGTTAGATCCCAGATAGAAGACTTTTGTACTTCTACTCAAATTGTGAATGCAGGACATTTACTTGTAACGGAGTATTTCTACAATGTTGTATTGGTACTTTTACAATCTCAGTACTTTACTCACAACATTGTTTGAGTCAGACAACAGAAACAGTCTCTTGTTGCCGATGCAGTGCCACTGTAACAGCCATTTACCACTGTAAGTTACAGGATGGCCTAAACTTCTCATTTGTATTTATTCTTCAAAAATCATAAAAGCGGTGTTCATTTGTGAAGGTCATCTCGCCGAAAAAAAACGTGTAAGTGTCACAAACGTTTGTTTGCCACAGAGCTTATTTTCTGCAACAATCCAAAAAATCCCATTCGTTTTTTGTCGAGGAAACCGATGCGACGCTGACTTCCGGGGGTTGGCCTACGAGAACGTGTCATCCCTGCGGCGCTTGGCTCCGAGCGTGTTAGCGCGCCGACGTTAGCATTTAGTTCAGAACACCGTTGTGGTCAAATTTACAATCAGAAAAACATCCCGCTTGCAACACACACACAAGAAACAAGTCAACCACCATCTTAATAATAATCCCCTATGTTCCCCCACATCCACCTCTTCAGTAAAGACAAATAATTTAACGGGCGATGCAAGCTGTTGTTTCAACTCTCCCGCTGTGTTTCTGATAATAGATCAAAGGATCCGTCGTCAGCGATGCAGAATAAATTCCTGACTTCCTCTCCAGAAATAGACTGCGCGGTTGGGACAGTGGGAGGAGACGGGATTGATTGCTCCCAACACACACACAAACTCTCTCTCTCTCTCTCTCTCTCTCTCTCTCTCTCTCGCTCTCGCTCTCGCTCTCGCTCTCTCTCTCTCTCTCTCTCTCTCACGCGCACATCCTCGTTTCTCCGTGTGAAATCTGTGATAATCAGCTGTCAATCAAAGTGGAAGAACTTTGAGTCGGACGTAGTCCTGTGTGTAAACACCAGACAGCCAGGCCTCGGTTCAATTAGTACAAACAAACACCTACAGCGCGCACACACACACACACACACACACACTTGGAGAGGCTCTGTATTGTGCTGTAACTGTAAGTTAATATGTGGCGATCCTGTCTCAGTATCTCTAACATACCATCTGCACTTTGTGGTTTTTGCAGGTATCATCATGTAATTTTATATCGCAGCATCTCTCCGTTTACAGCTGGATTGCATTAGAGACCTGGGGGGGGGGGGGGGGGGTACTGCATTAGCCGAAATAAATTAACTGACTGCGCTTTCAGTCTCAGTGTTGTGTCTCTGGATTGCACTTAATAAGAATTAGTTTATTTTCTCTTTGGGGAGGAAGTTCAAAAGATCAAGTACAGAAAAGGCTGTAATTACATTGAACGGCAATCTATTCTATCATGCAACACAGCCAAGGCACACATAGTATTTATTAATATGTTGATTAAGAGCTTGATGAGGAGGTTTGCGGTGTTGTCATTGACTTCACTGTTAGCAGTTAAAGTCACAGTGAAACAGCAGTTACAGCGTTTACAGCCTCAGTGATGTCATGTACATCCAAGTGAAAGGGAATCTCTATGTGATATGAGATCTTAATCTTGTCATACACATTTGATTGGGTCGCTCAGAAGCGGACACAGTGCCATCTAATATCCAGACACACACACACACACACACACATATTTATATAGGAAGAGAAGTATAAATATTGTAAAAGTACAATAAAAAAGAAAGCAAGGCAAATTCTGTTTTGAATCAGGAAGATGACAGAACTCAAGCAGCGATTGTAATATAAACTAGAAAACATCCTGCGATGGGATCTCGATCTATAATCTTGCATATCTGTGAGTTCTGTCACTTTATTCTCAGAGAATAACCACGTTTTCTTTGCTTTGAATACTACAACATTCCCCGTTTCCTCAAATATTTCCTCTTAACCTACAGTGGGCCTGATGAAGGCCCGAACCTCTAGAAGTAGATGATGTAGACCCAGAGCGGCATACATCGAATCGGGCACTATCTGATCAAACAACCATTTGATGCCAGAGCTAAGACTAAAGAAGCGTTACGGTTTGACCCAAAAACACTTTTATTCAGCTTACTGGTGGGAAACTCAACATCACGTCAGGACTGTTGACTAAGAGAAGGTACTCTAATGTCAAAATATATGCTGAGGATTGTTTTGTTATTGGAAAATCAAAGACATTAAAGCTCACTCTTCTGTTTTCATGGCATAATGAATCTAGACCCTATTACGTACCCGTTGAGGTCATTTCAGTTCACATCACCGGTGTCCGAGGACGGCTGTAACATCCGTAGCAAATCATCTCATCTCAGTCGTGATTGATATCAAGCACAAGGTGAATACATCTTGTTAGGTGTTAACACACCCTGGCGGGGCTTTATGGACCCTGCACCAATCCCAGGGTCCAGGGACAGAGAAGGGGTCCTGCCCACCGTCTTTAACGGTGCCTGCGTAAAGTTGGCAGACAGTGGGCTTCTTCACGGAGGCTTATTCATTTATCCAGCACAGCGTGTTGTTCTCCGTCAGCCACAGTCCACAGCTCTCTGGACACGCACGCACACACGCACACACACACGTGGATGCATCTCATTTCCATCCTTCATTCCTGTATGTAACGGATTAATTAATACAGGAAATTTTCATCTCCCGCCAGCTCTGAGAGAGAGAGAGAGAGAGGGAGAGGGAGGGAGAGGGAGGGCTGTTAATTAGCTGAGCAGTGGAGATGGGGGCCGACGACCCTGGGCTCCGTGTCTCAAACAGCCATTCACTCAGTCAACATGGCAGTGGTCCCCCCCCCCCCCCCCCCTTTCTCTGTCCAGTCCCTGTCAGAGAGCGGTTGCAGTGTCTAGCTGGAACACTAGGAGGCAGTATATAACAGTGTTACAATAGACAGGAAAAGGATCACAGTCGATTGCAGCCTTGTGGTTTCCCTGGTAGGTATGTAAGCGGAGTAAGAATTTCTGTGCGATGGATTTACACACTGACAAGTCAGAGCAGAATGTATGAGTCAGACAGTAAAGCATGATTTCTTTAGCATAGCTAAGCTTCCATACATAACAGGATCCTGGTGTATATAAAAGGATAACGAATGAGAAAATAACAGTAATGTAGAATATGTCTTCATAGAAGAAGTTATAATTATTGTAAACACTGTACAGGACTAAACACTAGTCCTCGTCTGCTATAAGTACATTATATATAAAACATTAATAATTGATTACATGTTCAGCAGAGCGTGTCAAGTAGTCATAAATCCGTAATAGATATTGTCTTTTGGTTAGGTGCCCATGCAAATAATGAGATTTTAGAGCACACATGTCAAACTCAAGGCCGAATCCGGCCCGCCACGTCATTTTATGTGGCCCGCGAATCCGCCAGCAAAAAAAAAAAAAAAAAAAAGTTTTTTGTTTTTTTTTAAATTTTAATTTTGGAAAAAAAATATGAAAAGTTAGACTTGAAAATAAAAGTATCCCCATAGTCAAAATTATGAGACAGAAAGTTGAAATTATGAGATAGCATGTTGTCTGTGTACCGACATTAAAACTATCACAACAGGTGGACAGGAGAGGGAACAGCCCGTAAAGAGGTTTTCCAACAAGTGATTGAGTTGAAAAAGATCGACAAATAATCCCAAAATGTCCACGAAGAGAAAAATTGATGCAGAGGGAAGAAAATGTAATGAAAGATGGGAAAGCGAATACATGTTTGTGCTTCTGTGTTATGAGGCAGTGTCGGTGATGAAGGAATACAATTCACGTCGGCATTTTGACACCAAACACGGAGCCAAGTATGCTATAATAACAGAAATGTGCTTAATCGCGATAAATCGCATGGATTTTTTGCGATTAATCGCGATTAATCTCATTGTTATGGCAAAGTTCAATAATGAATTCAAAAGTAGTGTATTACGCACTTTTATTTTAAAAGTACTGATATATGAACTAAAGGGCAATGACATTTGGTTTGTAAACACTTTAAACACATCAGGTTGTTGTTAGCAGCAGTATTCCCTTTACACAGCAGCAGTTCTATCTCTTCACTATCTGTGCTCAGTGTGTGACTGTATGTGAAACGTTCCACTGCTGTGCAACAGGAATAAAATGTTTCAGCACGTTTCATCTAAATGTGTGTCTTGTGTCTTCATGACAGTCAGAGCATGTGAATGCAGCTCTACTGTTCATCAATATAATGCTGTAACTCAGAGGTAATGATGGTGACCCAGCGATCAAAGAATAAAGACACTTTACCCACAATTTAGGTTTATTTTCCCTTTAACTCACGAGATGCAGGTAGCATGTTTTATACTTAATGTGACTATAATTCATACTTTGTTGGCATCTTATTCTGAAAACCGGATGTTCGTCTGAAGAAACCGGATGTTGTCTCATGTTAATCGTTCCGCTAACTTTCAAAGTCCTTCGCTCGCTCCCGATCTGTGCCGTTTAAATGCGTTTACCTTGAATTTCAGCATTTACAGTGGGTCGGAAAGTATT